CCCCTTGTAATAGACGACGCATGGATTGTCTGAAATGTAAAGCCTCTCTAAAGGCCATCATGGCGCGGCCGCGGCCTAAAGCTTTGCTCGATGCCTTAGCTGACACTGGCATTCAGACCTTGGAAAACGTCCCCGAGTCTAGACGTGCAGCGATTGCCGCCTCAACACAACGGCATCAAGGCACAGGACAGCCCGATCGTGAAGGAGGCATACTAAGAGGGAATACAGGGCCAGGCGACCACGGAGGAAGAGAAAGAGGGTTGGCAGAGCAGGGTGGAGGTGGCGGGGGTTCGACGTTGAACATCAAGTGTATAAATTGTGCGGAGGAGGGATTGGCCATGAAAGCGAGGGCGTACATGGAAGCACCGCCCATGTCGGTGGTGCTGTGTGCGAACCGTTTGCAGGATAGACGGGAGATGGAAGAGGCCTTGGTGCACGAGCTCGTTCATGTTTACGATGTACGTAAGGGGAACCTTAGGGTGGTGATGAGGGTGAAAGGAAAGGAGGGAAGGGTTGCATCTTCACGAAAATCTCCTATTCTGTCGAATGCACGCTTTCTGAAATGTCCTGTTTCAAAGCTGGACGAAACATCTCATACGCCTTCTCTGTGTTCCCTGTCTTTCTCCCGTCGTCCTTAACCTTACCCTCCCACCTCCTTCTCCCCATGCAGCACGCCCTCGTTCAAATGGATTTGACTACCTGCAAGGACCTTGCCTACAGCGAGGTTCGGGCGGCACGGGAGGCAGAGTGCCACTACACCCCTCAGTTGTGTTCCTGGTTCAAAAAACAGTGTGTGCAGAGCACGGCCACACGCTCTACCGCTACCATTTTCCCCACCGAAGGCGCGGCGTGTGTGGCGGCGGTGTTTGAAAAGGCGTACCGGGATGTGGGGCCCAAGAAATTGCACGGGGACTTGGCAATCGGGGCCGGGGAAAGTGGGGGAGGACGGCTTTTAGGAGGGGTCGCCAAGCCAGCCCCGTCGCCCGCCAGCCGCGCCGCCACGGCCGCTTCGTTACCTTCTAGAATGTTCCCCGCGTTCCCGGGGTCCTCCTCTTCCCCCTCCTCCTCCCCCCGCGTGAGCCTCTTTCCTCTTTCCCACGCGCAGTCCGAAGGGGGCCTGGCCAAGGCCTTGGCGGGTGCCTTCGGCCTGGGATCTCCAGGGGCAAAGGAGGGATCGAGGGCGTGACGCTGGGAGAGAGGGTAGACGGAGGACGGATAGCTTGTATGATGAAGACGCAGGGTGAAACTGTATGACGCGTGGCGGGGGACACCGAGAGAGGGTTCACGACTCTCTGGCGGTTGGGATTCTAATGGACGGCCGTGGGCGAGGGGAGGTGCCTGCGACGCAACCGATGGAGGACTGGGCGCGCAGTAGGGCATGGCATTGCCGATCGTGTCGGTCTTTTCTCTCGTGGTCCATTCCATCCCGGACATTGATTTCAGTGGTGGCGGCTTCTTGTGTCATCATGAGGTGGCCAGGGGCTAGGAGGAGGAACGAAGGAGAAGAACGAAGAGACCGAGGATGTCGTCCTGGGAGCGATCCCATGGTATCCATGGGAGCCATCCCATTGTACCGCGGTGCTCTCCATCCGTTCCTTTCTCTGCGCCGACTTATGTGTTCCTCCTTCCTTTCCTCCCCTTCCCACTCCTTCCCCCTCACCCAGGGCACTCGGCATGCACCCAGAGGCCCGAACCCCCCCTTCCCCCACCCCTCCCCGCTCCATATCCCTCGCCTCCCTCTCTTTCCTCACGGTTCTCTCCCTGAAGCTCCTCTCCATGCTCCTCTACCACGCCCTCGGCCCCGTCCTCAACCGCTCCCTCCCTTCCCACCTGGCGGCAGAGGGGCCCTCCCTCCTAGGCGTAGATCACGTGCTTCGGGTGCCGGTGCCCCCTCCTGGAAAGGGAGGGAGGAATCGAGGCGGGGACAGGGACGAATTGGGCGACGATTCTCTTTTCATGACGCTCTTGGTCAAGAAAGCTCTGCCTCCAGCAGGAGAGGGAGGGGAGTGGCAAGGGGAGGGAGGAGGCGGGAGCAAAGGTGGTGTCGTAAGGGAGGAAAAGGGTAAAGGCAACCTCCCCCCCCTCCTCTTCCTCCTGCACGGCTTTCCCGACGACGCCAGCACCTTCCATGCGCAGGTTCTCCCCTTTGCTCGCGCCGGTTTCGACGTCCTCCTCCCCGTCATGCCCGGGTACGAGCCCAGCACAGCCCTCCTTCCCTCCTCATCATACTCCCTCCCGTCCCTTGCTACCATGCTAGAAGATGTGATAGCCTGGGCGCAGTCGCCTGCCCTGGCCCGTGCGTTGCGCGGAGGGGAAGCAGAGGGTGGGAAAGGGGAGGAGGGACAGCAAGGGGGGTGGTTGGAGGAAGGGGGAATCGGGGAGGAAGAATGCAGGAACCCACTTCCGCGCGACGTGCACCTGTTTGGCCACGATTGGGGCGCCGTGCTTGCCTACATATTGGCGCGAAAGGGGAGCAGGGAAAAAGTTCGCGTGACCTCGGTGGTCACCGTGGCCGTCCCTCACGAGGCCGCCCGAGGCTTCCTCACGCATCCTCGCCAGTTCCTGAATTCCTGGTACATGCTCTTCATTGTGAGTGGACCGAAGGAGGGAGGGATGGAGTATCGTGCGGGAGGAGGGGGATGTACCCGTTGCTGTTTCTTCTCAGGTGCCGGGAGGCGGAAAAGGCCACGTTTTGCAGGGACTTTCGGAGGTTGAGCACTGTACCCCTCCTTCCTCAGTCGATCGTGTGACGCCCCCGGGACCACCGCTTTCCCTCTCACATGCCCTTCTCGGCCTTCCCCTTCTCTTCCCTCCCCAGCAACTTCCTTTCCTCCCAGAGTTCTGGTTCCGCGCCGGCGGTCGCTTTTGGGGCTTGCACCAACTCTGGGGAGGTTGGTCGCCGGGCTATACCCTCCCTCCTTCTCACCTCGCCTCGCTCCATGCCACTTTCTCGGAGCCCGGGGTCCTGATGAGCAGCATGCAATACTACCGCGATAATGTGCCGGGCATGCTCCTCGAGATATTGAAGGCCGGACTGGGGCGGGGGGGGTCGGGGACGGAGGGAGAGGAAGAGAGGAAAGAAGCGTCGGTGGTCGCGGCGCCAACGTTGGCCTTGTCGGGCTTAAACGATGGGTGCATTGACCCTGTCCTCTACGATGTGGCCATGGGCCTGCCTACGGACGGCATGCGGGTGGACCATCCCTTGTTCCCAGCGGGGGTCCGGGTGATGAAATTGGAAGGAGGGGGACATTTCCTCCACCGGGAAAAGGCCGAAGAGGTGAATGACTTGGCCGTGGCGTGGTTCAAGAAGCACTCAAAAATGGGATGACTTGTATCGACTGGCATCTATCGGGACTTAGAGATGATTGATGTGCTACCGAAGCAAAAATGGACTTTGTACAGACAGACGGCACGTGTCAACAACAAACATGCTTTCGATTCCCCAGCATGTTGAAAATGTGTCTCTTTTGCCTCTCTCTCTCTCTCTCTCGCATATGCAGAACGAGTGCCAAAAAAAGATGTAGGACAGAGACCCTTGAGCAGCGTCTTGGCATGTCCAAGCTCCGTTATTTGTGTGTCTTGCTTTGTCTCATGGCTTGCACCGTCACACCGCGTCAGGGCGCAGTAACGGCGACCCTGCTGACCGCCTGAAGCCGCCTTTTCGTGAAGATGTTTTTAGCTAGCATGCATGCGCTTTCAATTGAGTTTCCCCGGCTTCTCTGGGACGCAACAACACCACAGGGAGGGATCTCTGACCGGATCATTTACCCCCCACACCTACCCACACCGTGCATGTACGTTCCTCGTATCCAGGCGTGTCTCCCGAATGACGGCACCCACCACGCGGTACGGCACTTTTGCCTACAAGCTGCCTCTGCTTCGTACCTTAAACTTCAGTGCTCGACTCCATGCACGGCTCTGTGTTGCTCCCTCCTTCCCACCCTCCTTCCCTCCCTCCTTCCCTCCCTCCTGCCCGCCGTCACCATCGCAACCTGCCAGGTGGCAAGTATTTGTCGATCAATTTCTGGTAGTACGGCCACAATGCCTCCACATCCACCGCGCTCTCCTCGTCCTTCGTGTACAGATCGAACCTGTTGAACAGCCGCACCCAGTGCAAGAGCACCTCGTCCCCAGGGCCCATGAATCGAGCGTATTCCCCTTTCTCATGCCAGGGGTACGCGGAATGGAAACGGACCATGGCCAGGGCCGCTTTCGGCAAGGTCGTCTTATTCGCCACCAGCATGCGATACATATACTCGTCGTGGCCCCACGCCCACCGCAAATTCTCGATCCCACACCCTGCCTCGTAGATGCCATCCGCGCTCTTGTACCTTGCGTCCTGCATGTCCGGATTCAGGGCGTTGAACTCAGGAAATACCACGGAGGAGGGAATGGCACAGCCGACCACCCATGTGTCCCCTCCCAATGCCCATTGTGGACCGTGCGCGGTCCCCTTTTGGCCGTTGGAGGCGTCGCCCCATAGAAATTGAATTTTTCCCATATCGTGCAGCAAGCCCACCAACTGCATCCAATCCGGGTGGCCGGCTTTGCGTATCCCTTCCGCTGTTTGAAGCATATGTGTAAGATTGGGCAGGTCGATGTCAGGGTCGGACGAGTCCACATATTTCTCCAGCGCCTGAAATGCTTCTTGAATGCTCATGACCGCGCGATGTTTCTCGGGAGCGAAAGAGTACTTCTCTTCCATACGCTTGTGGAAGTCCACCGTTTGGTTTTGTCGCATTCCACGGTAATGAGCTGCTACACGCATTTGAAGTGCGGAGTCGGTATAATTGCGAAATTCGCTGACATTTTTGCCTGTAGCCGTCTTTATGCTCGTGATCTCATCCGCGGCAGGAGCCACTGTTACACCTGTACATGGCTCTGCGGCCGGGTGACCGGCGGTTTTGGTCATTTTGCGGGCTTGAAGAGGATTGAATACCTCCCTATTTCTCAGGTTGACAGCTCTCCCGGCGAAGTATATCCCTTTTATTCCGTGCCTCTCTGATTATTAATGTAGGGTCAAAAAAGAGGTTTGAGGAAAACAAAGGGAATTTTAGGCGACCAAGAATCCGCAAAACAAGACTTCTGTGTATGGACTTTAACGACACCCTTTTCTGACGGATGGCTGCGTTAGCAGCTCCTTGGGCAGGTAAACATGTACCCTTAGGCTAGAATAAAGTCTCTATGACACTGTGCTCGGTCTCGAGAAACGTACGCGTGAGCGCCTGGATCAAAACTGCACGACACGTTCATTCCTGCAGGCACGCCGCAACCAAAACTTGCAACGTCTCAAAAACTTGCTCCCTCCCCCCTTTATCATGCAATCGTGTCGAATGCCGGTATCCGTTAAAGCAATCATAGGGTAATTGGGTTTTGGTGGGAAGGGGGCCAAAAGCAATCTACGGATCGGACCGGGTACTCAGGTCGCGTCTTTGACTGGGGCTATTGTCCTTCAAGCTAAGCCAATTTTCACAAGAAAAACTGCAAAATAAAAAAGTCTTATAATGAACAATCACATGATTCTGCTGATAACTCGGTGTGTTCTGATAAAATCTGTAGTTTGAAGAATACAACGGGAAACCAATGCAGAGATACCTCAACACCTCCGTTACAACCTATCCAGAAAAAGGTCTAATCGGCCGTCCCAGTTTAGTGGTTGTTTATAGCATCTTGAATTTAGCATCACGTCGCAGGGATTGCCACGGCTAATCTTTTACGGAATTGCTAAACTAATAAAAAAATGCCCTGATGATGGGGGGAGATCGGAACGGGCGGTTTGCTTGAGGCCTCTTCTTCATCTTGGGGACGCTCCCAAAGGTCCAAATAGCTTATAATCTGGGGGTACAACATGTGTCGGCGGCCACGAAAGATACGGAAGGGTCTGGTAGTTTTGGCAGTCGAATAGAGCCTCGGGGGAGGCTCTGGTTTGCAGCAGTACCTTCCTATGCGTGGGCGCCACTCCTTCCCTGCCGTATTCTTGCCTGACAGAGCCATTGACACTAAACACGATTCCCCCACGAGTTTCCCGTCGCCCAGCCTGTGGCACCGACTCCTCGTTGGTATTGCACTTCCGTGTCATGTGGGCATGGTACTGGTTTGAGGGAGCTGGCCACGAGCGGTGTTACGAACACGGATCGTAACGCGCCTTGATTGCTTTCGCGAGAGGCCAATATTTTTCAACTTGGGAGCACCTTGTATACTCGGAGAAATTCCTGGTCAATTCACTTGGAGGACACTCAGGTCGATTCAAAAATGTTAACTTCTTACCTACGACAAATGTAAAACCAGCTCTCACAGGTCTGCAGCGTGGGCAGTCAAAAGGCAAGGAGGCTTAGCTATAATTTCCATGTCTGATAGCGTGTAAGTGTACGCAATAGTCTCCGTGAGAATACCTGGTATCCTGCATGTGCCAGCCTTCCCTGCCCCTCGGTTGTAGTGTTTGAGCGCAATTTCTCTCTGTCGTTGGAAGGCGCCGCGCCTGGAGTGGAATGACAAGCTTGTCTTGGGGCATGATAGTTTTCACGGTGCGACTTTTTACACGGGCATTGATGCACGGTCGTCGGACATGAAAGACGACGGCTTGCATGGAAGGCCCAAAAGGGGCGAGATATGGTGACGTGAAACCAGTCGTGTCTGCTATGTCGTCCTTGGCTCTGCCCACGCCACCAAGACGCTCCACCATCTCACCCGCTTGCCCAGCAACCAATATATGTATATATATCCCATAAATCCCTGAATAATGTTATACATATATATACCCCTATCCCTCACCTACCAGTCGCGGACATGGCGGGGGCTACCGTGG